TATTCTAGGTCAGAAAGACGTTGCCATGTCGACGGGGTTTCCCGCTATTTTCCTTCTTCGCAACGGCCAACAGATTTTTCTGTATATTGTTGGACATATCTGATCTTTCCTTTGGTATGCCGCTTTTAATTCCTATCCTACCAGGAGAGGAAGTATTGTAATCACGAGAAATTTTGATTTTTTCCCAAAATCGACTAGTAGTATAGTAAAGGGTGTTTTTTTTAGAGGCGGAGAACTTTGAATTGAAATAAAACACAAAATATTTTATTGATATTAACGAATTTGCTTTTATATTGAAGATAATTTTTTTTCATTAACATTTAAATATGATTTCGGGCATGTGACCCCCACGACTTGCGCGTACATGGCGTAATCTAGAGGTCCAATTTTCACACGCTCTTTCCAGTACTGCAGGCTGTATTTCGGCAATCACGCGCCGAATGTTGGCTTCCAAGTGCTCAAGTGTTTCGGGTTTATCAGCGTAGACATGCGACTTAACATAGCCCCAAAGAAAATAATCTAATGGCGTCAAGTCGCACGAACGAGGTGGCCAGTTTACAGGTCCATTTCTGGAAATGATTCGTTGCTCGAATGTCTCTTGCAGTAAATTAATTGTTTGGTGCGCTGTATGGCATGTGGCACCGTCCTGCTGAAACCACATTTCTGCAACGCCTGCAACACCTTCCAAGTGAGGCACAAAAAAGTTAGTAATCATGTTTCTGTATCGCTCACCGTTTACTGTAACGTTCTGACCATCAGCATTTCTGAAGACATAAGGACCAATGATTCCACCGGCCCATAAAGCGCACCAAACGGTTAGTTTTGCTGGATGTAAAGGTGTTTCGACAATAGCTCGTGGATTCTCATCACCCCAAATTCGGCAATTTTGTTTGTTTACATAGCCATTTAACCAAAAGTGTGCTTCATCACTAAACAAAATTTTCATATGAAATCTTGGATCAACAGCAATCTTTCCTTCCGCCCATTCAGCTAATGTACGGCGCAATAGATGATCCCGGGGTTTCAACTCCTGGACTAGTTGAATTTTATATGCTCGCAACCCAAGATCTTTGCGCAAAATTTTCCATACAGTGGATGGACACAAATTCACTTGTTGAGAACGACGACGAATTGACACATTGGCATCATTATCAACACTACGCTGCACAGCAGCTATCGCTTGTTGCGTGCGCACTGTACGGCGTCTTACGGGATGCGTATTGTCGATTAGAGTAAAAGTATTGCGAAAACGATCAACAGTTTCTCGAATTAATCGCTCTGAAGGACGATTATGGGCACCATAAAATTCACGTAATGCCCGATGTGTTTCTCGAATTGAACCATGTCTTTCAAAATAAATTTGAACAATTTGCAAACGTTGCTCCGGCGTCAGTCTATTTATGATGAATTGCCAAACCAAACTAACCTAAAAACAACCCAGAACTGTCAGATCGGCTGTCACACAAAACAGTGTTGCCAAATGAAAGTTCTCCGCCTCTAAAAAAAACACCCTTTACTTGTTGTGAAGAGCAAAAATGGTTTGTGGGTTTGGAAAACGGGTTTAGGAGTTATGAACGTCCCAATATTTCGTTTTTAGGAATGCTGGTGATTTTTAGACGTAATCAAAAAGATCCTTAACTTCGGTTTTCAATTGTTTGGTCACATTTGTAAGGACTTAAATCAGACATTCATCAACCAGTGACTCTTATAAAGAATTAAAATACATGAGGGTTTTTCTGCTCTGAAAATAACTAAAAATTAAAAATTGATTGAATTAATAGAAATTTTGCATTCCAATATTTCAGAGCATGTGTATATTTTAAACATATATCAACATTTTTCTTTTCATTTCAGCCCGAGGTTGTCCTTTAAAAGACAATGTTTCTCAATTTTCGGGTTTTTGTTAAAAAATTATGCATTTTCGAATATCTAACGTACTATTTCTGTATGAGCGAATTTTTGCAACACACTTCCTCTATTAGACATCTGTTTTGTGTCTCAATGTCTGGATTGGAAGTAGAGGAAGTATTGCGACCATGCGTTCATATAAAAATAGCAAATATTGGAAAAGAAACTTTGGCAAAAATGATTAAATTGGAAACCCCAGGCATTTAAAGAACAACCAAGTAGGTACTTGAATAAATAAAAAAAATATTGATGAAGGTGCAAAATACGTACGTTCTGGAATATTTGAATGCAAATGCGTCAAATTTGTTTATTTTCAGGGACGAAAAAATGCCTTATGCACCCGGATCTTTTCGTGTATCAAACATTTCAAACAAAGCATTTTTTATGTCCTTTCCCTCATTTGAACCGTTTAAAGATCTGAGGTGTTCTGTCTACAGATGCTTGTTTCAGGACACAAGGAATAAAAAATATTTTATATTAAATATTATCATCAAGGTCGTAAATTGAAGTTTAGATATTACTACAATCTCCAAAGAAACAAGACCTTCACCAAAATGTGAATTGTCGATTGTTGTGGGGAGATACTTTTTTGGAAATACATGAAGTAGAATATTATGAACAAATAAAATGGTTATAAATCGCCATGTGGTTGTTTTTGAAGTTCCTGATCATTTTAAATTTCGTACAGAATAATTCAGTTTTCGCCTTATGAGGTGCAAAGTTGCAACACTTTGCCTTAGAATAATCGTAAGTCACGGATTGAATTCTGATATCGCGTGAAACTAAAACTCCATTTAACTCGAAACGAGAATGGTGCGAGAAATCGAGTAGGCAAGAATTGGCAACGTAGGAGACAGCAGACGGTGCCTGAATGACTGCTGAAGTTAAATTGCGGCAGAAATTGATTTCTACACAACTGCAACTAGGGTAAATACGGAAAGAAGCGCTCACAAATACCTTAAATCAACAATTCAATAAAAAAATTAGTGAGAAACATCTTTTTCCAAAATCTAGCCCCTAATTAGATAATGGGTGATACCGGTGATTGTGATACATTTTTCTTCAAAATCATACAATTTTAATAAAATCGAATAACTGTGTCGGATAATGTTGATTATCAAAAAAAAGAACTGCCTATCTATTTGCTTTTTGGAAAATATTTTTCGCCATATGCGGCGTCATCTAAAATTGGAATTTCTGAATGGACCATATACTGACGGTAGTAACAAGTGTAGATCCAGCATTTGGGTCAAGGGGGGGGGCAGGATACATGTCCTGGATGATATTATACAATAGTTTCAGATTAGTCTCGAGTCACCCATTGAATTCTTGCCCCATATTTGGGAGACTAAACTAAGGCAATACTGTCATGTTAATTAAAATATGAAGCAGTATATATGTTTATGAGCTGATAGATGAAGAGAAAAAGATTTTTACACTCTTACGGTTAGATAACTATGCTGCTTACTACTTTCAATCAAATCAAACCGCCTTTCTCTGATTTTGTCCGTCACAAGAAATTTTAACGAACTTGCTCACAGCGATAAGGCGCGCGCGAAAGTGTTTTTTTTTGTATATTCCTGTACGAATGTCTAAAATTTTCAATCAACCTTAATCACAGAATACATGAGGCTCAATTTCCGATAATTCACTAACGGACATGCAGTGCTACCAATCCGAAATTGCAGAATCACTTTTTTTATTTATATTTGCGTCAAGCTGAACATATAGGCAACCAGACAACCAGACTACGCAACACACTTATTTCCAGGCCATCATCGACGTGCTTACAAAGTGATCAGGGTTGCTAGGTGTGTTGATTTTTCACCAAATATGCTAATTTTTTACGTGTTTGCAAAATATGTAATGAATAATATAATGGGGAGGGGTTCACGACCCTCCCCCCTGGATCTGGGCTTGTATTGAGCGAAAATTTTATTTGAAAATTTGTATCCTGCCTCAATAACAAATATAGCTTTTATTCGATGTGCGTTGTCAGTCGATGAAGTATTTCATACATAACTGTCTATCTGGTAGTAGTTTTCATTATGAATTACGAGGGATGTCTTTTATGTTTTGCATATAGAAACATAGTAAGCCGCACGGATCGAACGTCAGTACTGAATCTTAACCCCACTCTTTCGTAAACTTAAATTCAAAGTTTCACAACAATACGTGCAGTGCAGTACAGTTAATTTCTAAGAGTCACCAAGTCATTAGAAAATGGAACTCAACCGAGAACATTTTCGCGCCATAATTTATTTCAACTTTCAGAGACAATTATCGCAACAACAATGCCTTGCTGAGTTACTGTCTGTTTTCGCCAACAAAGCTCCACATCAGTCGACAATTTCCCGTTGGTATGGAGAATTCAAACGTAGCGGATGAGTCTTAGCGACGCGCGACGATCCCAGGGTGGGTGCATCAAAAACGGCAGTCACCCAGGAAAACGTCGATGCTGTGCGCAAACTCATCATTGAAGATAGACATGTGACATATCGCGAGATTGAGGCGTCCTTGAAGATCTCAAAGACCTCAATTCAAAAAATTTTACGGAGTAAGAAAATTAGTTTCTCGTTGGATACCACACATTGTTGACTGAAGAGCAGAAAGCAGCCAGGGTTAATTGCTGTCAAAAAACGCTCGACCGTTTCAATTCCGGAAACTCAAAAAATGTCTACAGCATTGTTAGTGGTGATGAATCGTGGATTTACTGTTATGAACCAGAAAATAAACGGCAGTCGGCTGTTTGTTTCGAAAAAGATGGTCGCGACATTTAAAACTACCTAGCGTGTTGTTTTATTTCCATATCCAAAACTTAAAAGACATCCCTCGTATTATTATGAATATGATTACATTTTGAAAGAATGTTTTTAAAAAAAAAAAAAGGATAAATGGGTCGCCAGAATTACATTGTCTAGGGACCAGAACAGCGTTAATCTGGCCTGGTAGTAGCAGCCAACACCTAAAAAAATAATCTTAAATGTTAATAATGCTTCTTTTGCTACGAGTTGATTGTTTTTATGTTATTTGCTTTTGAACAAAGCAGCTCTAATTTTTGTGTAAAGGAGGTATAGAACAAAAATACACAATTTCAAATTTATTTTTTATTGAAAAATAGGAATACTGTTTTGTAGCCTTATAGATAAAAATACAAAATATATTAAATCATGCGAGAGAGTACGCCTTGCTTAAAGCATTTCCAAGGTCCAGCAACTGAATGTATTCAGAGCCTCCATCTTGCAGACGATAGCTGACGACCTGAAAAAAAGTATCATGAAGATTTGAATTATTTCACTATTACTAGGTTTACTGTGAAAAGAGGAACACTTACCCCCAGTTTTTCGCCAATTAAAGCTTTCTGCTTATCATTGAACTGATCATTAACTACCAACATTTCATTAAGCTGCACCAAAATCTGAAAAAAAAAATAATATGCACATACTATTATAAATTATAAAAATCAACCTTTGCGAACCTGAGATGCTGCATATGCTTCTAACATCAGCTTTCTTATGAATTTTTCCAGTTCGCCATATTCTTGGCTTTTGCAAGTATCAAGAAATTCTTTCAACCACTTGTCTGGCACTACCTGCAAAGATAGCATCATGAAGACTGATCTGATATTTTGTGACATATGAACAGAAATCTAAAAGAGATCAACTCGATCTAATGCCACTTTTTATGGTGCTAGGGGTAGAACCGACATATCGGACATCTCTTCCTGTACAATTATATGTTTGACACTTGGGGCCATATCTGAGTCGTTCCTTAGAACGCGTTTATGGCCTCTTTGATTTTCATAGTTTTCTACGGTTCCGTGTGAGCGCTCTATTTTGAGGTTATGTTACAAATATCTATTTGCACCAAATTGTCTACATCCAGCATCGGAAATGGAAGGACCTCTGAAGAAGCTTGCCACTCGTGCTAGCGAAACGTTAGGAAGAAATTCCAGCCGACGACGGCTTTTAGACCCGAATCAAGATAGCAGTTTATCAACTGACCGCGAAAGCCTTAACCAATTTTTCAATTAAGTTGTCCATTTTCCAAAATGACATTGACATAAGACCTGTCACCCGCTAGTACTTCACCGTGATTTTTTGACATAAAATTTGAGTATCAGTTCCCGGTACTGCACTGTGCTACACCGTGGACTCGCGAAAAAATCCTTATTATAATTTTTAGATATATATTTTTTTGCGTCAATTTTACTGTGATTCATGTTTATGTTTTTATTTCCTGTAATAATGTTTTTCATTCATGTTTTAAATGCATTTGGTACAATGAACTTTTATACACAAGAGCATAGAACTCGATGATGAAACCTGTTGGAATAAAGATTATTATTATTATAAGCTCCAGATCTCTCATTAGAGAAAAAGTCACTGCGAGTCTTCTTCTCTCCAGCTCACCAGCAGAGATTGGCTTGACACTCGGGATTCCTCGTTTCAGAGTACCGTCATCAGCTAAGCTGTGGATCGAATTGATCATACAGGAAAGGAGGTCGTTGATATGTCGGAGCCAAGACCGATCCCTGGGGAACCCCGCGTTGACATAATGGGATGAAGAAGAGAACACGTCAATTACGACGGGTTTCTTACGGCCAGAGAGGACGTAAAAAGATACATTTTCCATTGATTAATGTTTATGCCTTACCCCTGTGACTTCCAGCACAGTATCCGGATCAATCTTCTGACCGCGACCTTTCAATTTAGCGCAACTCTGTAAGCAAGTGATTGCTCGTCGCATGTCACCGCCGCAGGTCTGAACTAACAGGTTCAACGTTTCATCATCACAATTCACATCTTCTTCTTTGCAAATGAGGCTGAGCCTTTCGAGGATCATCGACTCGTTCAACGGCTTGAATCTGAATTTGGTGCATCTGGATGTTAGAGGTTCTATGATGCGTGATACATAGTTGCAAATCAGGCAGAAACGAGTGGTTCTCGTCTCTTTTTCCATGGTTCTTCTCAAGGCGGATTGAGCGGCATGTGTCATCGAGTCTGCTTCATCCAGTATGATGATTTTAAATGGTGGGCATGGCTTTCCACTAGAAAATATTTGTATGCAAAATACTATATACAGGGTGTTGAAAAAGTTTCCTACCCCATCTGTCTAAAAAAAACTGCTTAAATAATAAACATGCATGGTTTTAAGGCGACACTCTATACCCTATTTCACCAGTATCCATCACGCTTCTGAGGTGAACAGCTAATCAGCAAGTGACATTTTTGCGTTAGTCTGCAACCTTGGCAATAATGGATCGGGTATAAATCTAGTAAACATTGTATGGCATTTTGTTTTTTGTATGCAAATGAACTTGACTAAATAAAACAGCTGTTACCGAGTACTAAATGAATCTATAGCGTACAAAAAAAATAAAACGAAATTTGGCTCTATCTACCTAGCGTTGACGGATCCTTCAGAATTGTATCCTGCGCTGATATGGGGATATTTGAGATATTACTAGATAATCAGCTGTCATTATACCGTGATGGATGCTCGTGAAATAGGGTATAATGCTGATCTTCCATGGTCTTGAAATGAACTGCAAGGTGATTTAGAGCCCAACTTGAAAGTTTTATAAGAACTGCTTGTTCTTGACCTTGTATATGGCATAGGCGGAAAAGTGTATGTTCGAGAATAACCTTGACCATGACCTTCACATTTAAAATCATGTGGAGGTTAACTTAGGCATTCAAAAGGGACCGGTTTATGGTCTGCAGATGGAAAGGATCAAAAATGTTTTGATGTGTTTAGCTGATCTCTTGATCACAATGAAGCCATTGTGAAGCTCATCAGAATTTGAAATTTTCTACTCCTTTCTATTGGTGAGGTCAAAAAGATGCAGATTCATTTAAAATTCTCAGATGACTTCTGAATGGCCTTGAAAGTCATGCTAAAGCTGCTATTATGTTTGTAGCAGAACTTCCTGGAATGAGGGGGGGATAACTTTTCACACACAATGTAGAATTCCAGTATCATAGAGTATAAATGGCAAAATAACTGTGCTAGCTACCCCAAGGGTGTGTAGGTAGGATGCACCATTGACATCTAAATATTGAACTATGACAATATCGCCATTTATACTACCTATACAGATGACATAAATAATAATGGTGGAGCGTGGCTCAATTTTCAGTCACCAATACCCCCCCTACTGCCCCTCTCTCCTTGACCGATCCCTAAATCTGATACTGTGGCTGACTGTAAATATTTACTTACTCTTGTCTGGTTCCAGAAGCTGTCAAATGAGCAAAAGTCTTGACTTTTTCCCTGATAACCTGAATTCCCCTTTCGTCTGAAGCATTAAGCTCTAGTATCCTTTCTTTGTAGATGTCCCCAAATAGCTGTCGTGCAGCTGCTAGGATGGTACTCGTCTTTCCTGTACCTGGGGGACCATAGAATAGGAGATTTGGTAAATCTGCGCCCGAGATACATTGTTCCAACACAGTAACTGCTTCGTTTTGTTCTACAACGTCAGCTACAGTTTTTGGCCGGCTAAAATATTTCGTGTTATGTTCACGTTTAGAAGATGAAAATTATTACCTACTATTTCTCAACCCAAGGTACTAATTCAGATTTCTTTGTGGGTTTTGACGTACCACCACTTTTTGGTTGAGTTTTGTCTAATTTTCCGGTTTTTAAGAATGCCTGCATGATTATTTTTGTTATTTGCATAGATTGGCGCCAAAATTATTTTGATTCTCGATTTGTATTTGTTTGAGGTTAGGCTGTCAATCGATAGTATTGTAAGGATTTTTTCGCGAACCCACGGTGTAGCACAGTGCACTACCGGGAACCGATACTCAAATTTTCGCGAGACGGAGGTGACGTCGTCCGAATGTCAAAAAATCACGTGGTACGGGTCTGTGAGGTACTAGCGGGTGACAGGTCTTATGTCAATTTCATTTAAAAAACAGGCATCTCAATTGAAAATTTGTCTTCGCAGTGCCAAAAATTGAGTTAAATTATTATATCATAAATGGAGGAACACGTCCACCTGAATTTAAATGGCGAGGGAGAAGGTCATCGAAAATATATGATCCGCACTTGTCATATCAAATGATTGATTTTATTGATATATATGTACATTGCACAAAAAACGATCGGTCTTTTTATTTCAGATTCAAACAAGGCAGCTAAGTTTATCAAGAGGCTTAAAGCAAACATTTTGCGCAACACGCGTCATCTAACCACTCCCGGCGTAACTTCAAACTATCAAAACTTCGAGAGGAAGGAGAAATTCTATCTATTCCCGCTCCTGTTCACTACGGGATCTCGCGAAAAAATCTCATATATAAGAGAAGCTGTGAACGCGTAGACATGCCGCTACTTCGACGGTTGCCGAGAGACTGAAGCGCGCGAGTGCTGTACCTCGCTGCGGCGATACAGTACGGCCGGTAGTACAGTCACGCCCCTTTAGAGCTCCCACTCCGCGCGTCTGCTCCCGGACAATGCAGTTGTTTTCTTATCTGACAGTATGACGAAGCGACTTGATGCTTACGTTGACCGGGAGCAGACGCCCGGAGTGGGAGCTGTAAAGGGGCGTGGCTGTACTACCCCGCCGTACCGTATCGCCGCAGTGAGGTACAGCACTCACACGCTTCAGTCTCTCTTTACAAAAGTGTTTAGATACATTAACGTTCCGCCGCATAGACACCAGGCGACGCAAAATTTAAATAACAGCTTTTTTTAGTGTTTTGGCAAACATTGCTACGCCTCAAATATTTTATTCGAAACTTCTTTTTTTATAACATTCTAGCATAATAGGGGAGGTAGCAAAATTGGCCGATGAGTTTTCAACGAAGCAATCTAGGTGACAAGAATGACAAGGTCAACTGCCAAAACATATATCTAACCCGGGGTAGTGATAAAGTCATTTAGTTTGTCCAAACGGCGGTTTTCCAATCTTCATTTGCATTTTTCAAGCGGAGTGCAATAATTTCGAGAAAAATTTCGCAACGGATAGTCTTCTAGAGTCTAGTAGAATATATTTCAATACTTGTCTTGCGTGGCCATGTTATCTTTTCTCATAAGCATTACTATCGGATCTTAAAATTATATCTGCATCAGTATCGACTATCGAGGCATCTCTATCTTTGAAATAGCTACCTGTCAACTGTCAAGTATCAATTTTCAATATGACTTTTGAATTTCGTGTTCTATGTCCGCGAACTTCGCCGGGATATTTGATTTAGGTTAAAAATCATTTAAAAATATTCGGAAAAATTACAATTTAACACGCAAATAATGCTTTCTTTTGCTCCTCCGACTTCCTAAACCAAACGAACACTCTCCAAACGACTTAAAACGTGTTTAATCACACGCGATACCCGCTTATTTAACCTGAACTCCATGCAATAATGTCCCTAGCATTACATTTGGGGCACTTTAAGGACCACCTAGTACACCTTAGACAGTTACTACCACATAGACTCACCCTATCCACCACACAAAAAGTTAGTTATATGTTGAATACAGTGTAAAAAGTTAGTAATTGCTTGGTTTATTTTTCAGATAATAGTAGTGTCTTTTTCTGCAAGTGTGTTGGTGGTAGGCGTCTTAGCAAGATATTTCAGAAGGCGGAAAAAGACCTTCGATCCCTCACACTTCAGAGGTAGAAGCAATGTGTTTAGCAGTAAGAGATCAAGAGCTTCAGGGATTCGAAGTCCAAATGGAGGTAAACTCTAACTGCTGAATGCTAAAGTGATTCTGTAGGAATTAAATGCATAGTCCAGAGGTTTTTATATATTCAAATCCCTCAAACTTCTGGAATATTTGCTGAAATCATTGAGGTCCTGAACATTTTAGTTGGGTTAATTGATAGAACTAAAATTCAGTTAGCAACTGGTGGCTCGGAAAATTGAAATACACAAGGAAAAATACCTTTTTCAGATCTGGGAAGTGTTGCGTCTAGTGGCAGACGGAGTGCAGCCTTCAGCAATATTTATGGTGAGAGGTATGTGAGGCAGAACTCGGTGATTGCCAGTGGGAAAGCATCAGTAGCCTCAGGGAGCCTTGTCAGCAGTGGACTGCCTGTGCCAGAGGGTTTGGATACTGCAAATCTGACCCCGCAGCAACTTGGAGTAATGGGTAAGTGAAATTTTTAGTGAAAATATTTCAGAAATTTCCTTTCTAGACTGTGGCCTTATCATTTCAGTATCCCACCAAGTAATAGGTCTTATATAGGTAACTTCTGCAGCTTATCCGAGATTAACATTCCAGGTGATTCTAACAAAAATGAGATTTTTTTTTGCATTTAAATGTTGGGGTATTTTTATTTTCTTTCCAGTTACAGATTTCTTTCTTGTTTTAACCGGTATTCCGTGTTTAGCCAATAGATGGACGTCCTCTTGCTTATAGGCAATTCTGATAGATGTCACAACAATGCTTGTCTGCTCCTGGGTAAACGGAGCTCAATAATGAATTTATTAATACATATAAGGGGGGAATGTTTTTTATTCTTTTTCCGGTTACAGGTTTCTTTTTCGATTTTGACCAGTATGCCGTTTTTGGCCAATAGATGGGTCTCCACCTGCTTAAATTCAATTCTCATAGATGTCTCTGTATCATAAAACACTTTCAAATGTCTCCTTTGGGGTAAACCGAGCCGTAATAGTGATGGGCCTCCAAAAATTCGATACATCTACGATCGTACAATCGAGGACGTCAAAATTTGAAAGTGTCGAATCCCTTATTACCGCCATGCCAGTGCTGCCCACCTAGAAATTCTAAAACAACAAATACAATGTACGTCTGGTAATTTTCAAAAAATAATCTGTATACTCACTTCACTAATCATGGACGAAACCACTTGAGGCAACTTAGTCCCAAATACTTTGTTTTATTTTTCTGATAAATCTAATAACTTAATTTAGTCCTGCTTCCCAGGGGCATCACAATTTTTCTACATTATTGATTTGTGTACGGCTGTTCGAACCTTCAAATGAAACAATAATTTTTATATCAAACACCCCGAAATTCTGTATTATAAAGGTTCGTGTCGGGAGGGTTTTTAGGAAAACTCCATAGATCACATCATATAGATATATTAAATAAACATATCTACAATTATTTGCGGTCTCATTTATGTTCAGTCTACCATCTTTCAATGTAGGAGATATTTTAAAATTAAGTCTATTTTGGATATAAGAGTATTTCGGAAGTAGCAGCAACGTTACGTGCTGATAGATTTGGCAACCTCGACTGGATGCGAATGTTTGTCGTCGACGAATTGGTGAATGGTGATCGGCATTCTGAACGGTAATGGGGACCTTTACAGGAATGTACAGTTAATATATATACTAAAAAGGCAAAATAAAATATTTTAACAATGTATGGTTTCTCAGTCAAATAAGAATCACATATTGCTAGTGAGTTTTTTTTATTAACGTATACAGAGCCTATATAGCTGTTGAATATTTCCGTGGAATGCTCTCTATAAAAGAATCTTTCATTGTTTTTTTTTTCTAGAAACACGCTATGAAACTACTTGTGTTAACAGTTAACAGTATGAAGTCCAAATTTTATCCCATTTGCAATTTACTCTCCGTCTAAACAAACATATCTGTACGTGACGTTCCCATTCGCGCGGTCCGATTGGCCAGAGGACGATAAATGCCTTGGAAGGGCAGCGACAAGCGAATAGAAGCGGCAAGCGAGTGATCATGTTTGTTTTGGTGCTGAGTAAATGAGGTTTGAATAAATAACGTATTTCAGGACTTCTTAGTTCAGTTGTTTTTTTTTGTAATATATAAGGCAGTTTTCTGGAAATGCGATTATCACCATTAATTATACATATATAACGAGTTTCTGAGTTGGATATACATATTATAAAGTAGGCTTTGGTTACAACTGGTAAATAAAAAAAGCTAAAAGTACCATAAATGCAGTAAGCTTAATATTAGACAGTTTTGCAAATGTACTTGAAATCTGTCCATATTGTAAATAGAGAAACTGCCTTATTTAATAAATTATTAGAAGAAAGGGAGATATTTTTCAACGTGTTTAGATGTTTATTTTGGAGTAAGAGTAATATTCGAAATATATTACATAGATACACCTGGTCTATAGTTTTAATACCTAAATTTTTACATATAATAGTAATTTTAAGATATTCATACGATTTGCATCGTAAATTATTTCAAATAATTTTATACGATGTAAACGTGCGGAACTTTGAAAAAGACGTTAAATTTTTTATAACAGAATCGATAGGAATTTTTGTACATGAAGAAAGCGATTTTGAACGTTGGTTTTGCTAATTTGAAATTTATTTTGTGCTTAACCTGACATTAGGAAAACAGAATATTTTTTAACATTGAGGGTTTAAAGGAATTTGAAAAGACAAGTGTTCCTAATTTTTTTCCTTATTCCAACGCTGCTCAGCGTAAAATACAAGCTTTACACATTTTCGTAAAATAATGAGTATCTCTCAATTCCTGTCCCTAGCTGTGTTTCGATAAGAAACCGTACAAAAATATATGTGCTTAAAAAATAAATCCAAAGTTCCTAATTTTACTCAAAACTCTCCAGCAACTATTTTGTACCATCTAAATACTGTATTAAAACCGAGTTTAAACATATACATAATAACACACAACGGAATTTGTGTCTACTACACATTCTTAGCAAAAATATAGTACGATTACACTCCCTATCATCAGCAAAATATATTCCTACTTTTTCTCTACGTTTTGCACATACAGAGCGTTGATCATATGACGGCAGATACAATTCACCAGAATAAAAAAAGTGATGATTGTAAAGTTTTGATTGAAGGCAACCAGAAATCGAGGATTCGATATTTTCGTTCTGAATTCAAGATTTTTCATCAATATTGTCAGTTATACGATTGTTTTCTCTCACGAGAGGAATGAACGTGAACGGCGATCTTTCCGTGAGGATTGTTGATATATCAATTTGACACGCACAAATTGATGTGACAAAATTTCCTTTTGATTTCCAAATGGAAGAGGGACTGAAGGGGCTAGTTTCCTTCCATAGCAAGTTCGAGAGAAAATATTGGCGAATTTATTTTCCGTTCACTCTTGTGGCAGGACAGTAGTCCATTCGAGAAGATTTGGCGGTTGGTGAGGAAATGTGGCATGAATTTGTGCGTATCGGGTTGACATATCAACATTCCTCACGGGAATATTGTCGGTCATTCCCATCGTGACGAAATAACGAGCTTTCGTTAGAGGAAATAACGGCAGGAAGGAATGCTCGCTTATGGGCTACAACTATGAGTTTTGTACTTAAATGGACAAGTGAAATGGTAGGTAGATTGGATCGAGACCTTTTTATATCTGAAATAAAAAAAAAATGAAATGAATATCTAAACACGCCAAATGTTTAATATCACATATCTCAGGCACGATTTTGTTGAAATTTCGCACGATAGCAAAGATGTCTAGAAGTAACGTAAAACTATAAAGACGGTTGAAAAATCCAGGGCCGGACTAAAGTTTTTTCACTTGCTTGTTTTTTGTCATCAACATTTTACAAAATAATGCTCAAAATTGAATTAAAGATGTTTTGGGAGCTCAAAATTTCAGGGTCGAATTTGGTTTACCCGCTTATGCTTTGATTCAATCAAATTTAGTTTTTTTCAGTATTTTTTTTTATTATTTAGTACTAGTAACTGATGTTATACAACAGCATGGCGGAAAAAAGTTAATAGGGCGCATAGCATTAAGTTGCCCTTTTATGTATATCATGTATTGCACTGTTTCTTGCGAAATGATAAATTCATCACAAGGAAAATAGAAAAACGTCCAGACTTGTAATTTCGGGTTTATGTGTCTCATAAACTGCTAAAAATAAGATACTTCAATAAGGCGTAATCAATCTATTTGGCTAATTAATTAGGATCTTTCGTACATAGTTAAACATTTCAATATTCAGCTTAAAACGTGTTGATTTTAATGAAAAACACAAAAAAGTGAATACGGGTCTGGATTTTTCAACCATCCAGCTAGTTTTACGTTACTCCTAAGTAAATTTGTTATCGTGGTATTAAAGATTTGACGCGTTCAGATGAAAACACTATCTAACCATTTCAACATGTCCATTTAAGTACGTAACACCCTGTATTAAACTCATTTTCAACACCCTGTACGTTGTCGGAATTCTTTCTCGCACAGATTACGTTTTGGTAACTGAAGTCTTTCATTTTTTTCAACCTGGTACCAGGACCAGATATTGTTACTTCAGCTACCAAATCGTATTTCATTTGTACACAGTGTTTAAAAAACACGCCAAGTGAACTGATGGCTATATTCAACATTCAAGATAAAGAAATAGGCCTAAGATAAAAGAGAGAACCATTTCATCTTTAGCAAAATGTTATTGGTGAGGTTTCGCTTCCGAAAAAGTATTTCTAGTTTTTGATTTACGTACTAAAAATGTTTTGCTCTGTCTTTGATCAAAACTAAAACCTCACCAAATTAAATATCCCACTAAAAAAAAAGACGAATTAACAAAATATGGACGTTGTCACAATAATAATTATCACCATTTATTTTTTAGTTACTACACCTCACCATTCTTTATTTTATATACAATCTATATACACAGTTGATTCTTATTAACAAAAGTAATTATAATAATACACAATGATAGCGGTAAAATCGGGAGAAATCGTAACATACACTGTTTATATATACGTTATACTGTAGTTGAGACACAAGAGGCTATCCTATATTATTTTTTTTTTTTTTGTAAAACTAGTAGAATATTAAAATTCATGGTTTTTATCTCAGTGACTGTTGGAAACATCAGAAATTATTAGCACTCTTGTGATTCATTTGATATTTTTTTATCATTTTTTTCTGTTGACATCACACTATTTGCGGTAGAAGCTTGGATCAGTTTCAAAGCATATAACCCTCTTTTTAGTTTTTTTTATTCAGTTACGTATCTAGAGCAACATTTTACAATCAATTATTTTTTGCATATTCATATTTTGATACAAGTCGAACAACTTCTGGAAATCGAGGTAAGTGATTAAGGAATGTCATCATCAAACTTAAGAAATCTGTAAACCATTGTTCATAATCCTAATGCAAAAACCGTTACCAGTAGCTTATGATCTGTGAATACTTCATACTTAAATTGCTAAAGATAGAAATACAGAGGAATTATGTTTGTGATTCAATTTGTTGAGACGTAAAATATTGAATATAGTTGCCTCCTGTATATCACATTTGTTTGACATGTCACAATTTGTTTTACCCAATTCCTTCATATTTCACGACGATGACTTCAACATAGACTATTCCGTCTTTACCCTGTGGGTCCACGCGGTCCGACATCAAACGAAATTTCCAAAAAATGTTTGAGTTCTTCAATTTTTCTCATCAGCAAACTGAGGCCCTGAATTTTTCCAGGGGCCCCACATAGCTATGCATCCATACTAATGTCTTTAAAATATCACTTCAACAGGAACTATTTGCTTAGAAACATCGATCCTAACATTAGCAAGCATAACTCTACCATCACTTTTCTACTCAACTCCCATCTTATGTCACCTGTCGTATTAAAACTAAAGCAGAAGACGCGAGTACCGCGATGCTGAACATCGGCACCGCTCTGCAAGTGCCGCTTGTCCCTTGATCTTTCTTGGTCATTGCGCCTGCTCGTTCATCAGACATGAGGGACGCGTCGTTCTCGTGACTTTTGACAGGTGACAGCGAGTCGTCCTTGACAGTTTTATGGGTGTGAGTGTCGTGAGCGTTGGGAGGGGTCGCTATCGGTGTCGCTTCTTGCGTTGTCGTTCTGTGGACAAAAAAAAAAATAGTTTTTCAGTACAATCGTCGGAAAAATAAGCATCAAATGCGAAGGAAAAAAACTGATGTTTTTATAGTAATCTTTTTATGTTTTGGTGGTGCGACTTATATATATATATATATATATATATATATATATATAACTTGAGACGTGGTCATTGTCGTCTAGACCAGTTAGGTGAAAAATTAAAGCTTCCGCCTTTTGTTGGGTACTTCGACAAAATTTAAGCAAAGAGGACTCTTTATACTTTTTTTAATTCTCTCTAGCTTTCAATGGACTTTGCCATCATCATCAGGAGCTGCAATTACAATGATAACAGTAGCAACAATAGTGTAAAATGAATTTAAATTGACTCAACTTACAGTAGTATGTGAGGATGTTGCTAATTGTTGTTTACGTATAGGATGACGGAAACGTCCAGTAACATGGTGAGAGCTGGATAGATGGTACAATGGTCAAAATTATATAAAATATGACAAGAACAAGTTAAAAACAGATTAAAAATTATTTAAAAACATTAAAGCATTACATCGTGAAGCCACTTGATGATTGCACAAAATGGTGGTCATGGAATAATGAGTGAGATGAACCCTTTGACAGAAGGCCGAAGGTTGTCAATGTCTGTGTTGAAAGATGGAACGAATTGTGGGCGTGTGCCAACGTTGCCAAATCACTTCAGATGATGTGATTTTCAGAATGTTATGTAAGAAATTGTTAAACCGACCAGAGGCAGTTGAATAAACTATATTTATTTTAATTTTTCACCTATATATATACGTGTTGGATAATGTGGAGGTTATCAGGAAAAATGAAATCTCGAAGGATTTTTCAGTAGTTGATAGACTTTCAAGTTCTTCCAAATCAATCAGTGGTTGAATAATTAAAAAAAATCATAGCTATGGTTTGCCATTTTTCAATGAAATTGAAATAATTCTGTCCTAATCGAACCTCATCAGTCCAGTTTTTTGTTCGTCGACTATGTGTTCCATTTCACTGTCGTTTAAGAACAATTTCAGCAAGAATCGCGCCGACTTAGTAAGTAATTATATATTTTTTCCTCCTAATTGCTATTTTTTCAAAAATTGTTTTTTAGCTCCAGACGATGATGGCATAGACCATCGAAAGCTCGAGTTCAAGTTGTAAGAGTGTACTTATGCAAAACTTTGCCTTTTACCCAAAGAAATTCTACTATGAATACTATATATATATACACAAAAGTTTCTTATCTCGGGAAAATACCAACTTTGATAATACAATAGTGCTTAAATTTGAGACAAGGATTACAGTAAAAATAAGCAATTTTAATATCAAATGCGAATTTTGTCTCCTGCGAAAGGTTAGGTGAAAAGATATGTTGTGCGTCAGTATCGGTTTGTTTACAAATCGGATTTGAAAGAACCGAAAAATTGCACATTTCTATAGCAATATGATGTTGGTTTATGGTGAGTATCGTCATGATGATGCTGAGGCTGCGGCCATATGCATTCAGATCTTTTTCCTGGATGTTTTCATCCCGCGCTGCGTAGGATTGTTTATCTCGTACCAATGCCGTTTGCAAAAACGGCGAGGTGAAAGCAGTTGAACACCTAGATAGCCTCAAAAACATGTGTCTTTTTGCGAAAAATATAAACTTTAAAAAATTACCTAGCTGTGGTTGTGGTGGTAGTAGTAGTTGTTGTAGTCGTAGTAGTGGTTGTGGTAGTGGTAGGTACATGGCTGCCGTTATGAAGATAGTAAGCTGGACTGAAAACTGCTACTACGTCCATGACCTTCTTTTCTCTTAAAACCTCGTCCAGGACCTTCTCTCGGGTCTCTCCATCTTTGTACAACGATACTAGGGTGCCCTTATAAGGGATCTCGGAGTCGGTGTAGTTGGCCACCAGAGTTACGTTCACCGCTGTGCCTGCTTCCAGATACCTAGAAACAAAAAAGTAAATATTCATAAATGTTCGTAAGTATAACTTTGCTACTCATATTTTTTTCAAAATGTTGATTTTTCTCAGGTACATAAATCGTTTCAAGTCAACCTTTGGGGTATCGTAGGAGCTGGTACCAACCCCCCTATCTTCAATTTTTCGAATATCTGACACTCGCTTACATCAATAATTTATTATTCAGATGGATTTCTACAAGGTCAATTCATGAATTATCTAATACTACACAGTGCTGCCAACCACACAACAAATTCTTGCTAGGAACGTTTTGAGTTTTTATATGTATTGTGGTTTTGATTTTGAGGTGAATCTCACAAACAGAAACCATGAGTACTGAGTTCTATCAAAGTTCTATACTTGAGTTGCAAAGTTGTTCAATGTAATGGAAAGGAAAACAACTCGACAAAGATTAGAACAAGTTCTAAATGTGCAAAGAAATTCATGAATTTATTTGAGTCAAATTCCTGTTTTATACTTTTAAAATTTGGCCATGAACTCAGAATTCCATGGACGTGAAATGGCAAACCCCAGCCACTCGCTCTTTGAGTTTTTCAATTGTTAGTTTCAGAAGTTAAGCACCCCCCCTACGGTCTTCAAATTTCAATTGCCAACAACATGGCGATGGAGCATTTTTATTCATATCAATGACATGAGCAGAAAAAAGCTTCTAAACTACCACCAATGAAAAGTTTTCATCCGATTTGAAAACCAAACTCTTTTCTTCATGACCTCAGAGGCACTGAATTTTTATACGACCAATAATGAATCTTCCATCAAACCACGACGGCTTCTTTATCGTCGGATGACGCTGCATCATTTTTCTCTAAAACCAATCAGATTTTTTATCTGTTTTCATTTAGAACTATTGAAGAAAGCTCGACCTATATTTCAACCATCACAATCCTGCGTTTCTATTAAACGAGTAGCATATTCTCATACTCGTACACAGATAGATCTCTGTAGGATTGCTTTTCTTATTAATTTCCACAATGAAAGAATGTCGCCGCCTTCCTTTATATTACTGTAATTGGTTGAGAATCGGTCTCGTTTCAGTCGGTTTAAATGAAGTTTAACGCTTTTGTATTCTTCACAATAGAAAATTGGAAATTCTTGCATCATATAAAGAACAAAGTAGTTTATGAGAAATCGAATCACCGTTATATTCATACGTCGAGGCCTAAATTTTCAGTTTAGTTCTAAAGATAACCAACTAGTTAGCAGAATATTATTTGCTACAACTGGAATTATTTCACTATGCGTCTCAGATTTACATACGAGGTTTTCAAATTAAATGATGAGGCGGGCAACGTAGTGTTCGACATGGCAACACAGGAGGCGCTGGGCTTAGAGGGGAGGCACTGGGACATGTGATCCGCCTTCAGTGCAAGTTTGAACTCGCTCGAGTCATTTGGTTGTCGGTAGTGATTTTTTTTGTGAAACAGTTTTCTATTGTGAAGTGACATCGGTTTCAAGCGACAGTGTGCTATCAGATTTTCCTTCAGACTTGGGCACAATGCAACGGAAACTATTGCTATGCAATGTTAATAAACTGAGTTTTTGGCCAGTCAAAAAAACATGTGGCTCCTCAGCTTCCTTATTTGCCTGATTTGAGTCCGTGTGACTTTTGTCTTTTTCCGAAGTTGAAAAATCACAACAAGGGAACTCATTTTGGGACAGCCAAAAAAATTCAAACGGCTGTAACTGACCAGCTGAAGGCTATTATTCTAGTATCGGAGTTCCATCATTGCTATTAGGACTGGGAGAACCTTTTCTACCGCTGTAGCTTCAGAAGTTATTTTGAATAAAAAAAAAACAGTCTGATCCCTCAATCTGCAGACTGCGATTGTAATTCTCGAACCAAGTACTTATACAGGACAAAGTATTTCATTTGAAAACCTTTTAGGAAGGGGCGCTGGGAAGTGTCATGTTGATCTTGGCCATGATCCTTACAATGTAAATTTATTTTTATACGTTGTCACTGCAATTTATCTGGCTTGTTGTTCGAGAATGCAAAAACTCCTCAAGAGGAAAATTCGTAGTTTTCTTTATGACATTTACAGGGTCAACTCAAGGTCATGTTGATTTTGAATGCGAAAGAGAAATAAAATCGCACTAATTTGATGTTAAGGTATTATAATTTATTGACTTTTTTTGTGTTTTGGTCTGCTTTCGGCATATCGAATGGTTTAGGTCAATTATTTCAAAGATAACGAACTCCAAACTTGTGGAGAGCCAAAAACCACCACACATGCTGTGACAGGTTTACTTTGCAATAATGACCATTAATCATTGCACAATCATCAATTAAAAAAAATCTCGTTATTTACATAAACTTGTTCATAAGATATCCATAGTCGATGCTTTTCTGGGTTTCTAAAATGTAACTTTCTTGTATTGGATACCTTCTATTTCATCTAACGCTATACCAACGTTTGGCTCATGCGTCGTTGCTAACAGCTAAAGCGCTAATGCAGCATTAGCACCTCACATGAATAATAATTGGAGGAGGGTATCTATCAATAAGAGCAGCAGCTATTTTATAAAGGTCTCCTAGATTCGGTACTTGCATTTGAACGGTTTTCTCGAGGAAAAATCGAGTTTATGGGCGCATTCACCATTTTTCTCAATCGACAAACTTCATCCCTCTATTTCTCAGAAACTAATCGTAGAATTGCTTTGGTCCCATGGAAACTTTTGTTCAGGAATGCGAGAAATATACCATACTGAATTTTTAGACAAATCGATTGGGACCCATTTTCAATATGTCCCGGGCAGGGTCCTTTCACACGGAATAGTGTACAATAATTTATAGGAGCCCCATGCCTCTCCATAATAATCAATCCAGACCATAAAGAGCATGGCGCATAATCACGGATTACGTGGACATCGTGGAAATAGCGTTTCGCACCTGTATAAAAAGATTAGCATGAATACGAGGTTTGTTCATAAAGTATCGCGAAGTTACTTTGGATAAAAGCAACGTTTATCGGTGGTCGGTGAGTGGACAATTGGAAAAAACGTTATTACAAGTGTATAATGTCTGATGGGGATTACTTTGAAGGGGACAACATAGATATTCATGAATAAATAAATAATTCTTGAAAAACATGAAATACTTTTTGAACAAGCCTCGTATAGAGAAAAAATTCACGCATCTACACAGCGTAGTCCTTTGTGGTATGGTTGTTAATTCATGACTTGCCGTACGCACCAAATGCGGTTTGCGAATACATTGATAATACCGGGATACAGTTATTGTATCGTTGAAGGTGAGATTAATGATAAGTTGTATATATTGCAGAGGGTATAATTAGCAGAAGAGCAACAACTGTACAAAGAGGATGTAGATAAACAATTATTTTCATTATCTCGCCATACTGACTTACAGAATCGTTGATAATGGGTGATTTTTTTGATAGTATCTTTCTGGCAACACTGTTTTTGACAGATGACGCGTGAATCGTGTCTTGTGTCATTGTCAAACTTGTTCAGTTTGGTCTATAATTTAACCATGAATCGACTTACGAACGAACAACGCTTGCAAATTATTGAATTTTACTATCAAAATTCATGCTCGGTTAAGAGAGTGCATCGAGCACTACTTCCAATTTACGGGCAATTTGGTCGGCCTACTGAGGGAGCTATTCGGAAGCTTGTGACTGAATTTCGAACCCAGTTTACATTATTGGACATTAAACCACCAACCCGCAGATGTAGAGTGAGGACTGAAGAAAATATTGCGGCTGTATCCGCCAGTGATAGTGATAACCGTGAAATGTCGATTCGCCGCCGTTCGCAGCAATTGGGCCTCTGTTAATCTTTAAACATTAAATTATATCGACCTTTCTATCGACTCAAATAAAGATTTAATCGTTTTTTAAAACTTTTTGTGTTTTTTTTGAAAATCAAATCCTACACCTCTTAAAAAAGCACCCGTTATAAGGGTGAATGCGTGGTATTTGGAGTTTCCCCTCACCACCCCCAATTTTTTTCCGAAATCTAAGTTTGGCAAATTTTTTATTTTTTCCGCTTTTGCCCTTTTTCTCCACCGCCACTGGACCGATTTTCAAAAATTACGATGCTTTTTTAATAGCAGCGTTGTGTAAAAATTTCATCAAATGCACCTGTCATATAACATCCAAAAAACATAAGATCTCATTTTCGAAAATTTTCGCAATCGCAATAATCGAAGTTTCAAAAATGCGTTTTCACTTTTCTTATGAAGGGCGTGGCAAAATTTTCCCTCAAAAGTCAAACTCAAAATACCGCTCCAAAGTTGTAACATAAGTTCTACTTTAACACTATACAGGGTGTGACTTAATGATAGGCCATAATTACAAGTTTAAAAAAATGGTCTTGTTAATATCTCAAAAATCGTTGTGTCGATCATAATGACATGTTAAGTTAGCACTAACTCAAAGATAATTATGAACTTTATTGGCGCCTCCGGGAGGAGGGGGAGGGGTTCAGTCTCACGAATGATATTGACAAAAAAATGTTCGCCACTGACTTTTTTTATAAAATCTCTATTATTTTCTGATTAAGCAGCTAATGATACAATTTTTTGTCTGTTGCATACCTTCGTATCTTACTTCGTTTTTGAGGAAAAAATAAAAACAAATTATCGAAAAAAACATTAAACTAAGATTAATTCAACTTTGATCGTTGCTAGGGAATGTTCTGTTGACATGAGCATATTTTTGACTCCCGTGACAGTTTGCTATTATTTTTCCTCTATCAAAGACTATTTTGTCAATCTCCGTATGCTGGAAATCAGACTTTTCAGGCCACATGTTTATATGAACTGTTCTACTTAAATTTGTTGTAATTACTGCCTATCATTAAGTAACACCCTGTATAATACAATTCTACAAATGGTACCCCATATTAGAAACAACAATCTTCATACTAAACTGCTAATTAAAAATCTTGCCTTTCAATAGGCGCCACCTCAGTCCTATTTTCCTCCTTAGGGATGTTGGCGAGCCCCTCGAACTTTGTGCCATCAGGTGCGTGGACAGTGATCGGCAGCCCGGTGATGAGCCCATGGCCTTTCACCCACTCTGCTCTGTACTGGTAGCTGTAGCTGATCACGGTGTCCACTCGTTGAAGACCCTCTTCCTCGTTCTTGAGGATCACGTGGCCCAGTTCCAATGGTGTACGGTGATGCTTGCCGCGTTTCACTCTGCTGAATCTGACCCCTTTCAGTTCGTAGCTGGAATTATAATTTTTTCAGCTTCGATATTCATTATGAAGCTTGGTTGCCTCTCTATTCGTCATTGCCTGTCACAACTGACGGAAGGACCTTTGCTCTTGGTAAAAGTATCGTAAGTCAGTAGATCTGTCAAGTCTGGTCGCCAAGATACCAGTGAAAGTCAGGGACAAAGAAGGAGGTAGAGCACGGGGAAGTGCGTCAGTTTGGCTTCTTGTCAATTTTAAGTTTGTCCTAAAATTAATTTAAAGAATGGCTGTTGTATAAAAAATGTAGTTTTGAATGGACCTAAAGTCACTTGATTTAATTTTATTCACAGTGCGAGCAGCAGTTTTGCGTGCTTTCCAACTTGCTCGACTGTGCAGTCTACTGAATCACGCAACAAAGGGTTGCTATGCGAAGGGGTGGGAGTAAGGAACGATCGAACCGAAAAATTAAGTGAAAAATCCAGATTGGTCTTTGGCTACCTACAATTTTCCAAATACCTGCTCTCTACGTGACCAAAAACATAAAAATCAATACTTTGTCTCAAAAAGGACAAACAATTATAATTTTCACCTTAAGTCATTTGAAAAGATCTGTCCAGCCACCAGTATATCACTTATTACGAGTACTATTGGCCATACATACAGTTTCATAACATACCTTATGGGTTCCATCTCGACCAGGATTTCTCCATCTTCGCCATGGATTTCAATGTTATTTTGGTCCACCACATAGAAGGTTCCAAGATGTTCAAGATTTTCGTTTTTCACATAGATACCGGTATTGTGCGTTAGAGACCCTGTATAATAATGACATTTCACAAAAAGCATGTAACATTAGAAATCTTGATAAAACAAGGTGATTCTAAAATATAGTTACTCGTATAAGTGTCTTCACTTTTATGAAATATAGTGGATAGGAGTTTTTGTTAATACAAATAGTTTAAATTCATTTACAATGATATATATATATATATATATATATAACTTGAGACGTGGTCATTGTCGTCTAGACCAGTTAGGTGAAAAAATTAAAGCTTCCGCCTTTTGTTGGGTACTTCGACAAAATTTAAGCAAAGAGGACTCTTTATACTTTTTTTAATTCTCTCTAGCTTGCAATGGACTTTGCCATCATCATCAGGAGCTGCAATTACAATGATAACAGTAGCAATAAAAGTGTAAAATGAATTTAAATTGAATCAACTTACAGTAGTATGTGAGGATGTTGCTAATTGTTGTTTTCGTATAGGATGAGGGAAACGTCCAGTAACATGGTGAGAGCTGGATACATGGTACAATGGTTAAAATTATATAAAATATGACAAGACAAGTTAAAGACAGATTAAAAATTATTTAGAAAACATTAGAGCATTACCATTTTGTGCAGTCACCAAGTGGCTTCACGACGTAATGCTCTAATGTTTTCTAAATAATTTTTAATCTGTCTTTAACTTGTCTTGTCATATTTTATATAATTTTAACCATTGTACCATGTATCCAGCTCTCACCATGTTACTGGACGTTTCCCTCATCCTATACGAAAACAACAATTAGCAACATCCTCACAGACTACTGTAAGTTGATTCAATTTAAATTCATTTTACACTTTTGTTGCTACTGTTATCATTGTAATTGCAGCTCCTGATGATGATGGCAATGTCCATTGAAAGCTAGAGAGAATTAAAAAAAGTATAAAGAGTCCTCTTTGCTTAAATTTTGTCGAAGTACCCAACAAAAGGCGGAAGCTTTAATTTTTCACCTATATATATATATATATATGTATATACATTATTATGTGAGCAGTAGTCACTGCTATTGCCAACGACCAGTGTGCCAAAAAATTCAATTACACTTTTAAGTGGGAATTGGCAAAACATAAAGCGTAGTGAACTCTTTTGATTGAAATCTCAAGCTTTCGAACTATGTTGTCATCTTCAGGAGCTAAAACACAAATATGGAAATAGCAACCAATTTAGACCAAATTTAAATTTCAATTGCTTACTGGTCGGTAAGGTTGCTGCTAAATGGTGTTTTAAAACGAAAGCGTGGATGAGAACACTTGTTACTATTATAAAAACAATATACCGGACACATTGGGTTTGTTGTTAAAGACGGAAACACGTAGCTATGCGCTACTAACATCTGTCAATAAACCCGAACAGGTTATAAAAATGGAAAGAGTAGTCAGGTTATTAAAAATTAAAGATTACATTTTGGGGAGAATTTTTCATTTATCACCGTATACTTGTTGCTCCTGGTGAAGAAAAATTATTGCCAACTTAAAATTCTCAGGATACGAGGGGCGTTCGACAACATTTTACATATTTCCCAAAATGCTGAATTAGTTTTAATATGGCATATAGAAAATATGATGGTAAAGACACACCAGAACAAACATGGTTTGTGTGTATATATATATACAGGGTGACTTTGAAGTTGAGTCATTAATTTTCAGATAATGATTGTAGAAGGAAGATAAACCAAAATATGTGTGTAAAAATAAAAAAAAACAAGTATTTCAGTGCGGACCTGTATTTGATCGTGCGGTCTTGGAGCACCGGCATGCCGTCCTCTGTGAGGTCTTAAGTCACCTGATTCACGAGCCCTTTGTACTACATTAACAAAGGCACGAGGGGTTGGTTGCACTCGATTGGGAAACCGATCCGCATAAATCCGTGATGCCGCATGTCCACAAGTTCAGCATTTTCGTAAACATGTGCCATTTTTGATTTCGTTTGAGCCACGCAACAGACACCACTATTCACTCACGCGTTACCGACTGACACTGACTGTATACAAATAATTGTAAAAACATCGTTCCAAATTCTTCCGCTTTTTTGTTTCCGATGCGATGAACCGATAAGGCGGATTATATCCGTTGTCGCCAAACACGAGCACATAATATTATTATTGAGACAGGGCGGTACTCAAACTTCCAAAGGGCTATAACTTTGTTACTTTAATTTTACCAGAAAAATGGTAAAGGAAAAAAACATTTCTTTTGATCAGATCTACTCACTGTTAAAATAAATGACTCAACTTCGAAGTCACCCTGTATATGATGGTTGAAAAGATATTATTTATTGTATTTACCTTCTTTGTTGTGAGTATTGCTATCCTTCCTAGCAATGAAGTTTTTGGCTTCAACACCGCTAGCTACTGCTCCTTGCGGTATGAGATCATATTTGCTCTTTGGTTTCCAAAACAACCTGGCACTGCCCTCGGTATTGACGAGAATGTCAAATTGCTCGTGTTCCCGCACCTGCGGAAAATTAACTGAATTTTGAAACGTATCACCAGTTATGGAGTATTTGCGATAAAGAAATGTTTTGATGAAAATCGGATCCACCAGCATGAAAAATTCAAACCTGCCGTATCAGTAAATTACAAAATCGATGATGACTTCGCGTATCGGGTATCAATTAGTAAATGGACTGGACATACATTCACACTTATATAGGGTGTCCGCAAAGTTGGGACTTCTCTTTACACGTCGTATATGTATTGAAAAAATAGTCTTAAGATAACTCCACAAAATCCATCAAACCTAAACCCAAACTAATTCTCTCCTGTACCTCGATCAGATCAAAAGTGAAAAGGCGCGACGTAGGTCAGTGATCAACCCAGGAGGTAAACAAAACATTTATTTACGAATCGGTCGAAAAAAAAAAACAAAATGGTACTCGTAAAGCGACTTCGAACATGTCGAAATGATTTTAATTTATGGTGAGCGTCTTTAAAACACTACCGAGGCTTCGCGAGTGTATGCAGATCGCTTTCCGCAAATATTTTATAGATACGCGATCAACTTGGAATATGAGTTACTCCGCATAAAGATCTTGATCCTTTTTCTACTAAATTTTGATTAAGAACTTTATTATTAAACTGGAGAAGGAATGCATATAACTCGGAAAGAAAAGTTTTGTTTCCTCACCTTTTTGTATAAGGATACGACACAAACGTGCTTATTTGGCCTTAATTGTCCAGCAATCCATATGCTGTCTCTTGCTCTGCATATGTAGACCGGTTTATTGAAGAATCCGGATACTGGTTCATTTTCGTTTCCAGTCAGTTCTGTATCGTCTCTATTGTATGCTGAAAACAAAGAACAATAGTCTATTATACCAAAGATATGTAAAAAAACCTTAGTCAATCAAAAATATTCCCATCATCTTGTAGATCCGAACTATAGGATAAAAAATTAATTCAAATAGATTTTCTGTTATTTGAAAGATCCTGTTGTAGTCTCAGGCTAACTGTCACTTTAGGCTGTAACAGTTGTCATCAAAATTTGGAAAACTTTGAAAATTTTCGAAATTTGCACGATTTAAAAAAAATCATAATTATCAAATCAAAAAAAATTCAAATACTCCTAATGTCAAAATATTCAAAATTTCGAAAATTATAACTTTGAAAATGCACAAAATCTTGCATATTTCAAATTTTTTGAAAATAATCCAGATTCCGGTTGTGGAATGCAAATGTAAAATCCTACCTTGAACGTTCACCAATGAAGCGTTATTGTTTGTTTAAAGAGTTCATTCCTCAAGGAGCGCCTATCAATGTGGCCCTAAAAACTCTTGTCAAATTCGAAAATTGTCGCTTTGGGTTAAAATATTTATTCAACAGCTATTCGTATAATGAGCTCGCAAACTGTTACTTTGCCACTCGAGAAGTACGATTCGCGATACAAAGAACCACGCGGCATAATTTCGCGAGCGACAAAGTAGCTCGAATCGTAGATATGTTCTGCAAATGCAGCAATTTACATGTTCCTATACTATAATTGCAAAATTAATATGAATGCACTTTACTGTATCATTTATGATGTCATTTCGGATACGTTGTTGCTCTAGAGTGGCAATTTCCATATCGTTAATTTTTCTGATATTAATAAAAATGAGTGTCCTAAAATTTCTGACTTTACTTTTCAGAAACAACTACGTTTTTAATAGCAAAGCTAATGCGTGGTGAAACAAAAGCGAAACGTAAAAAAAAACAAATAAAAAAGAGCTCACCGTTTATCGAAAATAAAGTACAAATTTGTCACTTGTAGTAAGTATTGTTCAAAGTTGTCTGCAATAGATTCAGAGACGTAGCCAACCATCGATGGAGGCTTTTTGAAAGGACTCCCTTTCCCGAAAGAATGCAGCCGATTTCGCACACGTAGTTCGCCAATAGTGTTCGCCTTAGTTTTATACGCTAAACATTTCGCCCCAAACAAAAAAGAAACCACGAAGGATCATGGAAAAAAGATCTGCATGTACTCGAGAAGCCTCGGTAGCATTTCGAAGACACTCACCGTAAATTAAAGTAATATGGACAACACGATATTGCTGTATGAGTGTGCCATTTTGTGCCCACCATAGTTTTATATACTAAACATTTCATTTCGCGCTAAACAAAAAAAGAAATCACTAAAGATCTTGAAAAACGATCTGCATGCACTCGCAAAGACTCGGTAGCATTTCGAAGATACTCACTGCAAATTGAAATAATATTAATAAATTGGATATTGCTGTATGAGTGTGTCTTTTTGGTTTTGCTTTTTTAGAACCGATGTGTAAAGGTGCTGTTTACCAGCGCCTAGATTGAGTACTGATGCACATCGTACATGTTCACGTTTGATTTGATCGATCTGCAGGAGCGGATTAGGTTTCATTTATTTTGCGGATCTATACGCCGTGTAAAGTCCCAACTTTGAGGACACCGTGTATCACATTTGACGCTTAATCATTCAGACTTAATTGGTAGTTAGTCGGATGAAAATGGTCTGTCTTGTGGAACAGTTGCTGACTACGAACCATAAAGCAAACGAACGGTTATCCGAGATCCGGCGAAACGCGCGCGATGCAGAAACAAAAGGACAAAAGCGTGTCTTATTTCTCACATTTACCAGAAGATATTGTTCCCGGCACGTTTAGCATTGTGGAGAAATCGATACGTCATATCTACAGGGTGTTACGAATTTCAAATATTCAATCGGAAATATGATAGTGGCTAGCTGTCATCGATCACGTGATCGTGCTGGGTTCATCGGTGGACCAAGCAACGATGCAGCTAGAATAGTATTTTTGCTGGAACATATTTTTTATGAACCGATGACAGAGATGCGTGGGAAGCGTCATTTTTTGACATTTGTTACAAGTTGTAGGGAATACCAATACTTAATAACTATCTTTTCAGCGTTGGAGCGCGATACCCAATTTGTACCCCGTTATACAGGGTGTTTCAGATTATTGTTGCATAACTTTAAGATTCGATAGAACTTTTAAAATTAATGCATAAAGTCTATATAAACATTGGTCGAAAAATGCGTGGCTTCCGAAATACAGGGTGTTTAAATTTACTTTCTAAAATAGTTTTTTTTAAATATTTCGAACAATATTTGATGTATAACAGTGAAAATTGGTATACAAGGGTTTTTTGGTACGACAAAACGAACCATGGGCATAGTTTTACTGTAGCCGCTAGAGGGCGCTCTCTACAGTACCTGTAGTGTATTAAAATGACCGAAAATTTTTTCTTAGTGCAATTTTTTGCTTTTTGAATAAAAATACTGATTCTTCGCACTTTTCAACATAAAAAAGCTCTCCTGTGAGTTTTCGTTATAGTTAGCCGTTTTTGAGGTATTTCGATTTTTAAGGTTCGATGCATTTTTAATTATTTATGGAAAAAAAACGTTAAAAATTCAGTATCTCGATAATTTTTAGAAGTAGGCTGTGCCTGCAAATATTTTTGAAATTGAAAGCAGAATAAGGTTAAACGTCAATTAGTTGACAGTTAGTTTTGTTGAAACCTGAAACGTTTTTTTGCAATTGTGAATGCACGAAATTTAGTTTTTTTTACCTGTTTTTTTTTGTAAGTTTTATAAACATGCCATTTTTATTCTCCAATCAAGAGTTAGCGGATATTCATTTTGTGTATGGCTTTGTAAATGGAAACGCAGCAGAAGAAGCCAGAGAATAGGCACGAAGATTTCCAAACAGACGACATCCAACTCGCTCAGTATTTGTAAGAGTGCATCGCCAAATAATTGAAAATCGTTTTGGAAATCTCCAAAGGGATCAAAACATAAATGTTCGTCAGCGCAGATTTACCCGTATGATTCTGCGTGAGTTTGATAGAGATCCGACCACAAGTGTTAGGAGAGTTTCTGGTGCCTTGGGACTTTCAGCAAGCCATGTTCACCGTAATATGTATTACCTCATCATAGACGGAGATACCGGTAATACCTTGGACAATGTTCTTAAAATATGTCTGAAATGTCGCAATTTCGATCGAGACAAAGGTTTGCGTTGCAGCATAAATTTCCGGGCACACCCCCCTTATTGCATTTCCTGTTTTGAGTATTTTCGTGGGGTGCATAATAAATGAATTTAATCGACGTGCTTTTGGGCAATGCGTGGTGGTTTCATGCGAAAATGTTTTCGAACAACGGGCAGGTTCAATATGCTTGCAGTTGTTTTATCAAGAGCGTACACTGGGCTTTGATCTGTTAGATGAAGGAGTACTTAGGATCTGCGTTTCATTATCAAAATTCTAGCTACAAGAACATTCACTTGTTAATGGTGACGAGTTAACAGTGAGCCATTCCTTATTTCTTTCGGATTCCTGGAAAGTCTTGAATCCTCCAAAACAATTTTTTGACTACTCCCAAGAATGATCACAAACTTAAGGATCCTAACCTAAAAACCATAAACATAATGTCAAAGTACAAGCCTTGTCTTTTTAAATGCCGTTCAATTTGCTTAAATATCTTTTTTGTCGCTTGAAATTCTCATTTTTCTGAATTTCACTACAATTGATTATGAAGACGTTTTATTTACGTGTACATCAAAGTTATGATTTGGATTATAATACACCTAAAACTTATGGCCGTATCGTCAGTCGTTCGTACCATTGTAGGACGCCTATGTGGCCTCCTTGATTTTCATGGTTTTCTGCTGTCCCGTGTCGGCGCTCTATTTTGAGGTTATGTTACAAATATTCACTTGCATTAAACTGTTTACGCTTTTAACTTATATCATCTGTTATGCCAGCCTGAAATTTCCTCAACTCAAAAAGAAAACATAGTCTCACAATATGAGAGCGTCACAGTAGACATCTAGAAATACCCCAGCTTTTCTGAAGGAGAAAAAGGACTCCGAAAATCAAGGAGGGCAGACAAGCGTCCTACAAACATGGTTAAAAAAACAAAAATAGTTGGCCTTGCTACGTAATTTTAAATAAGCAAAAATCGCTATTTTACTTCCCAGGAAGTACGCGAAAAATTTCTGAAATGAGACAGTTTGTTGTTTTGAATGTTATACGATATTTACATCAGAAAAAACATGTCACTCGTTTCCGTCTGTAGGTCTGTTTGTATGTCGTGTATCGTTGGACTGCCTGTAACTTTGAAAGTACTCCTAGGATTTGGATGAAATTTTCACACACTATATCAATGTTTTTGAAAATAGGTCCAGTGGCGGGAGACTATATTAAAGCCGCAAGGCGGGTAACATTAAATTGTATCAGTAGCGGAACAGAAAAGGGTCAAGAACGAAAAAAAATTAATTTCGATTTTTGACGTTTCAAATTTTACACATTCATTGGGGTTAAAATGGAGGTGGAGATTGTAGGAGGGTGGGTTTAGGGTGAATCGCAATTTTTGCTTTTGAAAGAATTTTTTAAAATTGAGCACTCTGCTTGGAATTTTACAGTTATTGGCAATATATCATTTGAAAATATGGTCTCTAAATCTGGTGAAACAGGGTGCATCCAAGGGGCCGTGATAGTGAGTTGATTAAACTAAAGACACATTCGATTTTGATTAATTAAAAAGAAACTGGACAGAATTTAAAAGTTACAAAAATACCTGTTTTTGCCTTTAAAAAAAACACTCGGTTTAAACCTTCCAACCCGACGACGCCTCCTGTCTGATAAGCAGGTATATTAATGACCAAGGCGCTAGGCTCCTATCGGTGATAATCTCCGATGGTCGCTTTGAAATCAGTGAAGCAATTCAATAAAAAAAAGCACGACCTTGACCAAAGTTGAACGCGGCGATGAAACTGGATGGGAAAGTTGTCTAATCTAATAATCAAACGCAGTTGCTACACGATGTTGTTTTGTGTTCGACAAGTTCCATTGTGATCCGTTCATTCGTAACGAAAGAGTGGTTCCGTAAATTTATTTATGGCATTTCAGTAGATTGGCTTAATCGTCTTAAATAGAACAACTGCACGGATGTGTTTGAGCTTCAATACGATATAAGCACGAGATTCATTGCATTGTTATTTTAGCTGCTACAAGAACAAGAAATTATTTGATGTTTCATGCTCTTCTTGACAGTTATTGTTTAAGCTTTGATTTTGCTCCGTTTATGTTTTTTTTGTGTAAAACGCTTCTGAATTGTCTTCCATTTCGATACGAAATGGCTGTGTATACTTTTATTAACAAAAATATACTAAGTGACATATAAATCCGAACACCCAGTTTAAATGGTTTTATTTTAATAAAAGTTGGTGAATGTATTTATCTTACTGTAAATAACAAGTGAAAAAAATTTTCAGCCTTATCAGTTGGACATTCCGGTTTTTATACTGATTTTTTTTAATTACTAACGCTCTAAAAATGAATATTTCAGCCGCAGTAAAGAATCAACGTTGGCGGATTTTGGTTCTTGACATCCTTTACGATCGGTTATGATGCCTAGAGTACGGAGACCTGTACGATTTCGTCAACTTAGTGAGTTTGATAGGGGCCGTATAGTGGGACTTCGGGAAGCTGGACTTTATTTTCGGGCAATTGCAGTTAGAGTGCAAAGAAGTGTAGACACTGTGGTTAGGTGTTGTCAGGCATGGCTTCGAGAAGGCCGTACGCAAAGAGCAAGGGGCACTGGACGCCGCCGTAGAACAACAGACCGTGAAGATCGCCGCCTAAGATTATTGGCCTTAAGGCCTCCACTACCAGGTCCATTGTAAATGAATGGTTTGCAGAACACGGAAGACCTATTGGCACGCGAAGTGTTTACCGACGAATGAGAAGTTTTGGCTTGTTTTCATACCGGCCACACTGGGTCCTCCCTTTAACTCGAGAACACCGACGTAATCGCCTTGAGTGGTGCAGACAACGGTCACTCTGGATCAGGAATGGAACAGTATTGTCTTTAGTGACGAGTCTCGATTTTGTTTAGGCATGCACGATGGTCGTGCCAGGGTTAGAAGGCGACGTGGTGAAAGGAGGAATCCACAGTTTTTTGTTGAAAGACATGTTCATCACACTATTGGAGTTATGGTTTGGGGTGCTATAGCTTATGGTTCCAGGTCACCTTTAATCTTCATCAGAGGTAACATGAACGCGCAGCGGTATATCCACGAAGCTCTAGAACCCCATCTTTTACCCTATCTTGACACCCTGGCAGATCCAACTTTCCAACAAGATAATGCCCGACCACATGTTGCAAGAGTCACAATAGACTTCTTTCAACATAATGATGTCACATTGTTACCATGGCCACCAAGATCTCCCGACTTATCCCCAATTGAGCACGTGTGGGATATGATGGGTAGGAGATTGCTCAATTTGCAACGTCCTCCTCAGACTCTAGAAGCACTTCGAGAGGAGTTGGTGGTTGCCTGGAATGAGATACCACAGAAGGACATTGACCACCTGATCAGAAGCATGCCTAGGCGCGTTGGAGAATGCGTAGCACATCAGGGTGCATCCACACATTATTAAAGGTCAAAGGGCTTTAAAGCAGTGCAATCATTTTGAAATTTTTATCATTTACTTATTATGCTTCATTAAGTACTTATACAAAATTTTATTATAATAAAACCATTTAAAACCGGGTGTACGGATGTATATGTCACTTAGTATATTTATTTTGTGTTGTTTTATCAGTTTTTACTCTGATGAATCCTGTACATACCATGTCTCTCGGGATAATAAAGAATTTGAATTTGAAGCGCCTGATTCCCGAAGTCGTGTTATCGTCGAAATTTGTGATTTAACATATCAGTCACAAAATGATAGTTCCTGAAATATCTACCACTACTACTCGACTCCGCAATTTTATTTTTCGACCTTCAGCACTTCTCGTTCCCCACAAATCCCTTTACGACAGTTTCGAACGATTCTGTATAAATTAGAGACAAACGGTGCCTTGTGGTTTTACGGTTCGAGCTATTCACGCTGCAGTAAAAAGCATTTTTACTTCCTGTTGACTTGCTTAGTTAAAACTTGAAGCATACCTACAATTTCACACTGTGTCTGCTACAGGATTGATGAGTCTCATTAATTTTCTTTGTTAGCGCGTCTAGGACCGGAGCAATGTCCTTTGAACTTTTGTATACGTGAACTTTAATGGGAGAACGGATCAGTTTGCAGGGGTCGTAATATTCGATGATTTTGATCAAATGGAAGGTCTACATAAGAGAGTCGTAGGGATAGTCTCATTTTTTTTTGTATTTTTGACAATTAGTACTGAGAAATTAACATTGGCACTGAGGACAATTTAAGAGCTTTGAATAAAAACCGCATCTGCCACCGTTTCAGAAGCTTTTTGACACAGTCACCTAGCCTACAAATTGTCTCTATAATTGAGCATTTTTTTGAGGTACATCTTATGTTGGGGAATCATTTCCTTGGGGGTGAAAATGAGTTTTGGTTTATATTTTTTCATCTGCCAGCACTTCAGAAGTTTTCTCACACCATGCCACCTAGCCTATAAATTGTCTCTATAATTGAGCGTTTTTTTGAGGTACACCTTGTGTTGGGGAATCATTTCCTTGGGGGTGAAAATGAGTTTTGGTTTATATTTTTTCATCTGCCACCCCTTCAGAAGCTTTCTCACACACTGCCACCTAGCCTCTATACTGTCTCTATAATGAGCTTTTTTTTGAGGTACAAATTGTTTGGGAAATCATTTCCTTGGGGGTGAAAATTAATTTTTATTTATATTTTTTCATCTGCCACCACTTCAGAAGCTTTCTCACACGATGCCACCTAGCCAATAAACTGTCTCTATAATAGAGCAGTTTTTTGAGGACAACTTGTGTTGAGGAATCATTTCCTTCGGGGTGAAAAAGAGTTTTTGTTTATATTTTTTCATCTGCCACCCCTTCAGAAGCTTTGTCACACAATGCCACCTAGCCTATAAATTGTCTCTATAATTGAGCGTTTTTTTGAGGTACAACTTGTGTTGGGGAATCATTTCCTTGGGGGTGAAAATGAGTTTTGGTTTATATTTTTTCATCTGCCAGCACTTCAGAAGCTTTCTCACACCATGCCACCTTGCCTATAAATTGTCTCTATAATAGAGCATTTTTTTGAGGTACAACTTGTTTGCGAACTCATTTCCTTGGGGGTGAAAATGAGTTGTTTATATTTTTTCATCTGCCACCCCTTCAGAAGCTTTCTCACACTCTGCCACCTAGCCTCTAAACTGTCTTTATAATAGAGCTTTTTTTGAGGTACAACTTGTTAGGGAAATCATTTCCTTGGGGGTGAAAATTAATTTTTATTTATATTTTTTCATCTGCCACCACTTCAGAAGCTTTCTCATACAATGCCACCTAGCCTATAAATTGTCTCTATAATGGAGCATTTTAATTTGAGGTACAACTTGTGTTGGCGAATCATTTCCTTGGGGTGAAAATGAGTTGTTTATATTTTTTCATCTGCCACCCCTTCAGAAGCTTTCTCACACACTGCCGCCTAGCTTAAAAATTGTCTCTATAATTGAGCATTTTTTTGAGGTACAACTTGTGTTGGGGAATCATTTCCTTGGGGATGAAAATGAGTTTTTGTTTATATTTTTTCATCTGCCAGCACTTCAGAAGCTTTCTCCACCATGCCAGCTTGCCTATAAATTGTCTCTACAATAGAGTTTTTTGAGGTATAATATTATATACTTGTTTTTAAATAATCCACCAAGCCACAGTATTTTCAAAAATGAATTTAATTTACGAAAATGCGTTAAATCTTTTCGATTCTGTTGTCACCAAATCTTTGTCTCAGAATGTGAATTCGTTGTAACATTTCAAGCGAAAAGGGATTCCCGGATTTACATAAAACTTACAACTTTAGATCTCGAAATAAAGTCAATTTGGTTTAGGTACCTTATAGCCCCAAGCCTTTCAATTGGTTAGAGCCAAACTCACTTCAAGGATATTAGATAAATTTCTGGATTTTTTTGACACCAAGTATTTCACATTTACAGACGTTTCTTGAGGTTGAGTGCCGTTTAAAAAATGACCTACCCAGTTGTCACTGATTTTCAAAATTTTGAAAACCTTCTAGAATTTTCAAAATTTGCACGATTTTCGAGATTTTTTAAATTTTCAAAGTTACCAAACCAAAAAAATTCAGATCTTCAAAAACTTGCATATTTTTCAAAATTTTCATAGTTTTTGACAATTTGGAATTATTAATAATACATGTAAAAACATTTAAAATTGCCAAAAATTTCGGGATTTCGAGTTTTCAAAATTCTGAAAATTTTGGAAGCTTTTATAATTTTTGAAATTTGAAAATTTTTAAAGGTTTAAACTGTGAAGTTTTCTGAAATCAGTAGAATTTTGAAAATTATCAAAGTTTATAATATATTGCAAGTAGGATAGTACAAATGTTGCATCCCAAATTTGACAGCTATGATTAGTTTTATTATGGTTACCTTTAAAGGTGTGATTAGTAGTACTAAAGTTCTAAAAAATTTTAGATCTTTGAAAACATTCGAATTTTTCAAAATTTTCAGGATTTTGAAAATTGCAAACATAAATCTTTTAAAATTGTCAGAAATTTCGGGATTTTGAGAGCTTTGAAGGTCTTGGAAGTATGAACATTTTTAAAATTTGAATTTTTTTAAAATCTTGAAACATTTAAAGTTTGTAAAATCATGAGAATTTCAAAATTGTCAAAGTCCAGAATATTTTGATGACTTTACAAGAAGGGATGTACAGATGTTACATCAAACATTTTACAGCTATGATTAGTATTATTAAGATTACCTTCAATGGTTTGATTAGCAGCTGCGACAGCATTCTGCAACAGTTCCTTAAGATTCTTGTCACTTCTGCTGGTAGGTATCCACTGCAAGTTCGTAGATGTGACTACTTGGTTGAGATTTTCTGATAAGATATGCACTGATCGATCTGCTGTGAGCGGATCTAGTTGATAGAGTAACAGGAGACACAGCAAGACGATCGTCATCTTTCTGTCAACGAATCTGAAAAGAAACAAGATTCCTTTAGGAAACACGTATTTCGCGAGGTAACGTAATCACAGTGAAGTTGTTAAAAAAAATATACAAAACGTCTGAATCGTGCTGAATCAGGTACAAATACAGAGTGTCTCACAATTTGTAGAGTTTGTAGAGGAACTAGAACAAATGATATGTTTCCAATCAGGTAGCGTCATACTGTTAGGTGATTTCAATGTTCCAAATTTTCAACTTGTGGGTAATTTAGACCGTAAGAAAAATGCTGTAATAAGTTTGCTCACTGTGTTGAACCTTAAACAATGCAATACTGTTTTGAATGATAATGGAAGGCTGTTGGATTTAATATTATCAAATGAAACTTGTTCTGTTTCTCGTGATACTTGAAGGTATCCCCCATCATCCAGCTCTTGATATGTGTTTTGAAAATATTAATGTTAACCCTGACGCATTTCCCTTATTTTGCGATATTAACATGTATAATTTCCGAAAAGCAAATTTTTCAGAGCTGTATAAAGCAAATTTTTCAGAGCTGTATAATGCTCTCCTCATTGCAGACTTTTCTTTTTTAGATAACTTCTTAGATGTTAACTAATGCTGAATTTTATAAATTTGTATACTCTATCTTTGATATTTACGTACCCAAATATAAATCTTTTAGTCATAAGTACCCCTCGTGGTACAGCAGCGAAATTATTAGGACATTCAAGCATAAAGCAAAGTTATGCAGGGTGCGGCAGAGAGAATGGACGGTTTTAAAAAAATCATAAAACAGTTAATTTTTACTCGAAAACAAATTTATTGATGGAATCAGGTTCACAAGGAAATATCATTTGAGACAGTCAAGTGTGGAAAATCACATCAGGCAAAATAATGCTAGGATCTGACGAGTCAAACGGCACCCTCCCCACCTCTCTCGTAGACGGAGGCGGAGAGTACTACCCATTCCAAAAACGTCCGTCCTCTCTGCCGCACCCTGTACAAGAAGTACAAAAAGATTCACAATAACCATCTACATGAACATTACAAACGTCTTAGATCTGAGGTAAAGCGTCAAATATATGTGGCCTATAAAAATTATACACGTAAAGTTGAGATGACCATCTCTCAAGATCCTACACATTTTTGAAGCTTCATGCATATGCAAATAAGCTTTAATGTTCCATCTATTCAAAGTCATTTTATTGTGTCAGGGCTCGCACAAATCTGTTTTTGAAGGCACCCAAATATGTGATGTGTGAAACTTTCAATGCAATATCAAATTATCGTGATATACATGCTGACAGTTTGAACAGCATTCTGGGAGTAGCTAGAAATTGCTTGGATAATTTATATGTTACTCACCTGAGTGAAATATGTTTTTTTTGCTTCTTTTTCTTGTTTATTTTTTTCTTTAGATGTTTTCTGTTATTTTGATTTGTCTTAGGATTGTCCTGTAAATGGTTTCCTTAACTGTTGGGCAATAAACGCTATTTATATATTTTTTATTTATTTATTTAAGAAGCACCAATTGTGCCCTTACTAATTTTGACGCCATTTTTTGGAGCGCAAACAAAGAACTTTGAGGAGATTATACGAGTATTCAGAATATATACAGGGGGACTTCGAAGTTGAGTCATTTATTTTAACAGTGAGTAGATCTGATCAAAAGAAATGTTTTTTTCCTTTACCATTTTTCTGGTAAAATTAAAGTAACAAAGTTATAGCCCTTTGGAAGTTTGAGTACCGCCCTGTCTCAATAATAATATTATGTGCTCGTGTTTGGCGACAACGGATATAATCCGCCGTATCGGTTCATCGCATCGGAAACAAAAAAGCGAAAGAATTTGGAACGATGTTTTTACAATTATTTTATTCATTTGTATACAGTCAGTGTCAGTGAATAGTAGTATCTGTTGCGTGGCTCAAACGAAATAAAAAATGGCACATGTTTATGCGGATCGGTTTCCCAATCGAGTGCAACCAACCCCTCGTGCCTTTGTTAATGTAGTACAACGGGCTCGTGAATCAGGTGACTTAAGACCACAGAGGGGACTGCTGCCGGTGTTCCAAGACCTCTCGATCAAATACAGGTCCTCACTGAAATACTTGTCGGGAGGATACTTTATAAAACAAGGTAAAAAAAAATTTTTCATTTTTTTTTATTTTTACACACATATTTTGGTTTATCTTCCTTCTACAGTCATTATCTGAAAATTAATGACTCAACTTCAAAGTCACCCTGTATATCTTTACAAATCCTCTTTAAGGATAACCAACACAAATCTTATTACGTAAAGTCCAGTTTCTACCAGCGATATGTACTCGCATTGCCTGGCCAGTGAAACGGAGTTATACTTCCTGTAATTTTCTTTTATTACTAGACCTTAATGCTCTCGGCTGTTCTAAGGACGTCGACAAACAGAAATTAAAAGAAAAATATGATTATTATTTATTAAATGGTCGATATAAAGGCCATTTAGTGAGATAACTCATGCATGTCTTTGAGATACGGTTTCCGTAACCAGTATCTGCTAATCAGGTAATTAGCGAACTATATTTACAGGTAAGAAAAAAATTCTTAAATGTAGATCGCGCACAAATATTTCTCAGGAGCCGGTATCTGAACGGATTTTAAAGATGTTTAGCTATTTGTATACAGGGTGTAAACGTTATGGTAGTCAATATTGAAATGGGTGATAGGCGGGTCAAAATAAGTCAGAAAGTTCATATGACCCATGGTCCAAAAGTGCTTTATATCGATCACAATCATCACAATCTTACGAATTTTTATAATCTAATTTAAATTTAAATTGGGAAATTAACAAATAAATGGCATTAAGTTTTTCTAAGTTAAGCCAAAATTTGTAGTCAGTAAGTAAGTTTCATTAAATTAAATATTTAAGACACACATGACAACAGCGCGTCGGTCGTTCATCACTCTTATCGAACCGGCAATCGATCGCAAACGGTAACAGTGGTTAGTTATTGTTCGCGTACGTCGTCGTGTTTATTTACAATGTTCTCGAATCAAGAGTTCGCCGACATGTTGTTAGTTTACGGTGAAGCTCGTCAGAACTCAAATCTTGCAGCACAAATTTATCGCGACGGATTTCGCCAACGGGTACACCCAGACAGAAGGACATTTGTGCAAGTGTACCAAAGGCTTCGAGATACGGGAAGTGTTCAGCCCACTAATATTCGCACTCGTGAAAGACAGGTTACTGCAGAGCAGGAGGAGCAAATTTTAAATATCGTGGAAATCAATGCAGATATCCGCACTCGGGAATTAGGCCGCCGCGTAGGACTATCGCATACCATAGTCCATAGAATCCTACGGGAAAATTTGCTTTATCTCTACCATTTACAACGAGTGCAGGTCTTGTTACCAGAAGACTATCCTCGCAGACTAACATTCTGTCAGTGGTTTTTGCACAAAAACATTGAAAAGCCGTATTTTTTTAAAAACATTCTAGCGACGGACGAATGTACTTTTACGCGAGACGGGATATTAAATTTCCATAATACTCACTCGTAGACCCAAGAAAATCCTCATACCATTCATGAAGGTCATTTCCAACAACGTTTTAAAATAAATATTTGGGCGGGTATTCTTGACGATCAGGTAATTGGCCCTTTCGAGTTACCCCCAAAGTTATCAGGAGATGGCTACCTTAGCTTTCTAGCCAATAACCTACCAGAACTTTTGGAACAGACCTTAGACAACATGCCATTACAACCGAGACAGAATTTGTGGTTTCTTCATGACGGGGCACCACCACACATTTTTAGAGGCGTCATTCAGTATTTGAATGAACATTATCCAAATCGCTGGATCGGTCGAAATGCTCCTCATCCTCGAAAATGGCCAGCAAGATCTCCTGACCTGAATCCGATGGATTTCTGGTATTGGGGAGAACTTAAAGGGATGGTTTATGGGGCTGGTCCAATAACAACTGAAGCACAACTTCACCGAAACTGATCGGTGACGGTTCCTCAACGGTAGAACAAAAAAAACACCATGTTTTAGATCGGATGTCATAGGTTATCAAGTTGTCTAATTTTTCTTCGATCGTATAAAAAGAAATCCCTCACAAATGATTATTTTAGCACCTCTAGCATACCCCATCCCAATGCCACTATACATAACCGTAATGTGTTCGTCAACGTGAATTTATGAGGTTCCTTTGGAGAGGTAGGCACTTTATAAAAAATAATGAATGCCTGGCGCCATATTTCACCGAATCCGGCACCACTTAACGTTGGTGTTTAACGCTCTATAACCGGGCCTTAATTTCATGCACCCTACATAGAAAAAACGGCTACGACTGGCGTATTGAGGTCATTGTTTCGGGATTAATTTGAGAAAGTGCTTTAGCGTAAAAATGTAATAAACTGCTGATCATTAAGGCACTGGGCTCGTGTATATTGAAATCTCATTTATATCCTTTATATTTGCAATCGATGGAATTTCAAGTTTTAGCGTTGACACTTTTCTTTCAAAAAACGATGAAAAGTTTGGAAAATGCCCTACTGAATCCGCACTTTGTCAATCAAAATACTGTGAAATTTTAATCTCCCCGCCATGCATTCCAGAAAAAGAAGTATCAAATAAAAATTTTTGGTCATTTTAAGGTCGAGTAAATATTTTCAAATGGAGCCTCCTTTTTAATACCCGAATGGGAAAGAGGAGGAAATTCTACATCCGAATATGACCTTGACAATGACAATAACAGTGACCTTCCAGACTATTCCAAGCTCAAGTAAATGCGACCTTGGCCATGACCTTGACCATCAAGGTAAAGTCAAAATTTTCAAGGGAAACCTGGAATTGAAATAATTAGGAAATGTTACGTCTGAATGTGACATTGACCTCGAAGTCAAGGGCATGTCATATCTTAAGTGTTATTTGTGAGGTAACCCCTTAATTTCTATCGCAAAATTGCAGAGAGCAAGAAATTCAGACGTAAAATCTTGACATGAAGATGATGGTCTAGAGCATGGTCAAGGTCACCTCTGTGTGACCCCGACAAAACTCACAACTGTGCTGTCGAATATTTTTGCCAGAGCGAATTGTTTT